GAAGATGGTACCATTGTTGAAATTGAAGAACATGGACGGTTGTACTATTTGACTTCCATAGACAGTCATGAGAACGATAGCGTAAGTGAAGTAGATAAAGTAAATGTCTCATATGATATTAACACATGGCATGAAATCCTAGGTCACTGCAATTTTGAAGATATTATAAAACTACAGGGGGTAGTTAAGGGCATGAAATTCTCAGGTAAAATTGAGTCATCTAAGTTAGGTTGTAATACATGTGGATTTGGCAGGTCCAGTTTCTCCTGTGTCAAGAGAGGGGTTTAAGTACTGCATAGCTTTTACTGATGATTTCTCAGGAGCAGTATTTGTTTACTTTCTGAAATGTAAAAGTGACACCTTTGTAGCAACAGAGAAATTTCTAGCAGACATCACTCCTTATGGCAAGGTAAGTTGCATCCGTTCTGACAATGGCTCAGAATTTACAGGTAAGGCGTTTCAAACATTACTAAGGGAGCGTGGCATAAAACATGAAACTTCTGCTCCCTACTCGCCACACCAGAATGGCACCGCCGAAAGGCACTGGCGCACATTGTTCGAAATGGGCAGATGTCTTCTTCAATCAGGGTTACCCAAAACTCTCTGGCCCTATGCAATTCAAACCGCAGCTCACATTAGGAATAGATGTTTTAATAAGAGAACAAAGACAACACCCTACTTTAGCCTTACTGGGAAAGTACCTGATCTTTCTAAAATGTGGTTCTTTGGATCTGAATGTTTTGCTTACGAACAGGAGCATAAGAAATTAGACTCAAGATGCAGCAAGGGGGTATTTGTGGGATACGACAAAAATAGCCCTTCTTACCTAGTGTACTACCCCAAAAATGGGAAAATCATGAAACATCGACTCATTAGATTCATCAAGAAATGTAGTGTAGAACAGCACACACAAACTGATGAGTCCAGCAGGGATTGTGATGTACATGAGAAATCTGACCATGATACTAGATCAGACTTAGATAGTATGAGCCTCCCTGTTTTAAGTGCAATGCCGCCAAATACAGTGCCTGATGAGGAGCCTAGGGATAGTGAGGGAAGGCATTGCAACCATACTGAGAATGACAGTGAGACAAAACGGTATCCTCAAAGAGAAAGGACCCCTCCCAGATACTTAGAAGAGGACACCCTCCTCCCTAAGAATGCCGATTGTGCCCACATTAGTGTAGATTACTGCTACAAAGTTTGTGGATTACCACAAAATTACACAGAAGCCATGGGATCACCTCAAGCTAGGGCGTGGGAGCAAGCAATGAAGGAAGAGATCAGCTCTCTGAAGGAAAATGATACTTACGAATTATCAACTTTACCAGAAGGTAAAGCTTCAGTAGGGGGGAAATGGGTGTACACAACCAAACAAGATCAGAATGGCATAGAGTCCTTTAAGGCCAGATATGTAGCGAAGGGTTACAGCCAGGTAAAGGGTATAGATTATCAAGAAACTTTCGCCCCGACAGCCAGTATTACTTCAATTAGGGTCTTAATGCAGTTAGCAGTAAAACATGATCTTATTGTCCACCAGATGGACGTTAAAACTGCATATCTGCATGCCCCCATTACTCAAGAGTTATACATAGACCAGCCACAAGGGTTTGAAGAGGTTTCAGAGAGTGGTGAGAGGTTAGTATATAGGCTAAAGAAATCGCTATATGGTCTAAAACAATCAGGTAGAAATTGAAACATATTGTTACACGAGCATTTAGCAAATGACGGTTTTGTCAGAAACCATGCTGATCACTGTGTATATAAGAAACAAGTTGATGATAAAATTGTTATCGTCATTGTTTGGGTTGATGACCTAATCATAGCTTCAGATAGTATGCAGTTAATGGAAGAATTTAAAGAAAGTATGAAGACACAATTTAAGATGAAAGATCTAGGTAGAATCACTTTCTTCCTTGGAATGGATTTTAAGCAAAGCAAGGGTGAAATAAAAATTAATCAGAAAAGATTCATTCTTAAAATACTAGAGAGATTTGGAATGATAGACTGCAAGCCCAGGTTAACCCCATGTGAGCAACGATTAGAATTTAACTGTGGTGAATTGACCAACGCCAGACAGTATAGAGAAATGATAGGAAGCCTAATTTATGCCATGACCTGTACAAGGCCTGATTTAAGTTGGATTGTAAGCAGACTGTCTCAAACTCTGTCAAACCCCAGAACGGGAGATTTAATTGCTGCCAAACATGTCCTAAGGTATCTAAAGGGTACCGTGGATTATGAACTCTGCTTTAAGAAATCTGATGCTGACTTGCAGCTCACTGCTTATAGTGATTCAGATTGGGCCTCTTGCCTGGAAGACAGGCGAAGTACTACAGGTTACTGTTGTACTCTAACTGAAGGAGGACCACTGATTTCATGGAAGTCGAGAAAGCAACCAACGGTTGCCATTTCCACTTGCGAAGCTGAATATGTAGCTTTAGCAAATACAGCTCAAGAGTGTTTGTATCTAACTCAATTGTTAAACGGTATGTATAAGAAAGTACATCAGAGTATGAAGGTAAGTGTTGATAACCAAGGGGCAATTGCACTAAGTAAGAACCCAGTTAACAGACAACGTTCTAAGCATATTGACATAAAGTACCACTTTGTACGTGAAATGTATGTTAAAGGCATGATCGATATTGTATATTGTCCTACCCAAGATATGGTAGCTGATATCCTAACAAAGCCACCCACAAAATGTAAACTAGATAATTTTAAAAGTATCGTGTTCGGTTGTGGTAATTAGTTTATATTCTGATAACAAGTGAGGGTGTTGAGTTCAATATAAAACTGTATGTTATCCAAATATTAGTATGACGTAATACTGAGAGACAAATGCATGATGGGATTGTTGTGTTGTTAGTTGAACGTCCTCGTGAAAGTAACTTACTGTACAAAACTACATTTGTAATAAACGTGAAAATAAAGAGTGATTTCATTACAAATACGTGTTCTAAAGTCATGGCTTCAACAGTGTAATTCAATCTTCAGTTATTAGAACTGATTCCAAAATAGCCCGCGTGCAGGCGCGGGCTAATTCCAAAATGGCAAGATAATCTAAATTTATTGGTGATATCATGCATCAATAATTCAAATTTGCAACGTTTAGTCAACTGTCAGAATACAGGGCATGGTCGCAGGTAAGGCAGGTTAATGCAGATAAGTCTGGTCAACTAAACTGCTGGTTAACTGCATGTAATACTGTACGGTTTATAGTGAAAACTCTTATATCCTCAGGAATGCACTGTTATACAACTCAAACTCAACTTTTAATGTCCTTAGAAAACTGAATAACAACCTTTGCTTTATCGCTCTCGCACATGTTCCTTGAACCCCCAAAGCGCATGCGCAATATATCACATTTCCCTTTCTAACAAAAGTCTCTGTTCATAACGATTAAATTAACTATAATTGTCAACGATAATAACGTAAAAGTTCTTTAAAGTTAATGATCTGTTCTTCCTCGATTAGCTCTTAACGGATAACGTCTTTCAGCGGAACCTGTGTTATTCGCACTTGAATTATCAGTAACAGAGTTTTGATTATCGTTCTTTTCTACAGAATCGTTGCTACTAGTACCCGAGGTGTTTCCATATCTGTTCGAATTTTCAGATAATTGTTCTGCTTCCGGTGTCCCACTTTTCCGGAGAGATCTCAACTTCATCCCAATCATTTTCTGGTTCAATCTGCGGATTGTATTTGACTAACTGATCTACATGTCGTTTCCACAGATATCCAGGTACTCTAACCATGTAATGCCTTGAACCAAGAACTTTAGTGACCACTCCAGGAATCCATTTCTCTTTCCCTTGATAATTACGTGCTAAGACATTTTCCCCTTCAACAAAGGATCGCACGTTTAAATTCGCAGAACGTTCAAGGACTTTATATTGCTTTTGCTTCACATGTTCCTGAACGGAAGGAAAGACTAGATCAAGTCGGGTTCGCAGACGTCTGCCCATAAGTAAAACTGAAGGTGCCGCACCCGTTGTAGAATGTGGTGCATTACGATACACTAGTAAGCTCTTAGCAATAACCACGTTCACATCCTGTTTAGTAATTCGAGCTTGCTCAATCGCCGATTTCAAAATTTGAACAACTCGTTCAGCTTGACCGTTCGTTGAAGGTTTGTAGGCTGCAGAAGTTCGATGCATAATTCCGTTGTTACGGCAGAACTGTTGAAACTCGCCAGCAATGAATTGCGGTCCGTTATCGGAAACTAATATTTCCGGAAGACCATGGCGGCTAAAGATATCTCGCAGTGCATTTATAGTAGTCGTAGCTGTTGTAGTAGTCATTTTAACAACTTCCGGAAACTTACTGTAAGCGTCAACTACCACCAGATACATTTTCCCAGCAATAGGCCCAGCAAAGTCGATATGAATGCGAGACCAAGGCTGTGATGGAAAAGTCCAGAGATGTACTGGCGCTTTTGCTGGCTCTGATCGCATTTTCTGGCAAACAGGGCAAGTGGACACAGTCTGTTCAATGTCAGAATCAATCTTTGGCCACCAGACATAAGACCTCGCAAGCCCTTTCATTCTTGTCATGCCCAGATGGGTGTCATGTAATTCGGTTAGCATTTCACTTCGAAGAGATGGAGGAACAACAACCCGAGCCCCCCAAAGGATGCATCCTTGATGAATAGTTAGTTGATCACTTCTGTTTTTGTACGGAATCATATCAGCATCAACTACTGAGGGCCAACCACTTTGTATGTATCTATATACTAAAGAAAGAACAGGATCCACTTGTGTCTTTTTCTTAATCATTTCAGCAGTTACATTAGTAACAACACCAGCTTCAAAGAAATAACATTCTACATTTTCACTTTAGGGCACCAAGTTTGTGGTAAAGGTAGACGGGACATGCTATCAGCGTCAGCATGTGCAGTTGTACTTCGGTATTCAATCTTGTAATGGTATGAGGCTAGGATAAGTGCCCATCTTTGTAGTCGTGAAGCCGTGTGTGCTGGAACCGAACAATGTGGTCCCAACAATGTAAGGAGTGGGCGATGATCAGTTAGGATAGTAAATGAATTACCACAGAGATATTGATGAAATCGTTTAAGTCCAAATATTATACTGAAAGCTTCCTTCTCAAGCTGTGAATAATTTCGTTGGGCCTCAGTTAATGTACATGATGCAAATGCTATCGGTTGGTGTTCCCCATTAATGACATGTGACAATGCCGCTCCTGCACCATAAGAAGAAGCATCGCATGATAGAACAAGAGGCAATGATTCATTATAATGTACTAGTGTTCTCGAATTTAGTAAAAGATTTTTAGCTGCTTTGAAAGCTGCGTCTTCTGATTTAGTCCACTTCCAAGGTACATTCTTCTTAAGCAGATTATAATCAGCGGTGCTAATACAGTGGAATGGTGTGGCATAAATCGTGAGTAAAACATCATAAGTCCTAGGAAAGACTTAAGAGCCGTAGCATCCTTTGGAGGGGGGGGGGGGGCATCACGCACAGCTGCCAGTTTGTCTTCAGTTGGATGGAGGCCAGCACTATCGATTAGATGACCTAGGTACACCACAGAAGACTGGAGAAATTTGCACTTAGATTTGTTTAACTTGAGACCAAACTTAAGCAATCTTTCTAGCACTTGGGACAAATTATTCAGATGATCGTCATAATCAGTTCCAGCAATAAGAATGTCATCCAATCTGCTAACAGCTTTCGGAATATCTGCTAATAATCCATCCATAATTCTCTGAAATATAGCAGGACCTGAATGAATCCCGTTAGGCAATCTTTTAAAAGCAAAGAGACCCAGATGGGTGTTGATAGTAAGATACTTCTGAGACTCAGTTGAAATGGGAATTTGATGATAAGCTTGCTTCAGGTCTAATACACTGAATACTTGACAGCCCCTCAATGCAGAATGCATATCTTCTATTTTAGGCATTGGATAAGTCTCAACTTCAGCACATGCATTATAAATAACACTGAAATCACCACAAACTCGAACTTCATCACCGTCCTTTTTGCCCACCGTAACAATAGGGGCAGCACTAACAGCAGAAGAAATCCTCTCAATGACACCATCTTTTTCCATTTTTAGTAGAGCACTTTCAACTCTTGTCTGTATTGCATACGGAACTGGACGTGCTTTATGGAATTTAGCTCCCTTACTTTCATTGAGAACTACAGCATCACCAGTGTAACACCCAAGTTGAGGTTGAAACAGTTCATCATATGAGTGAGTCCAATGTATTCTTATTTTCAGAAATCTTGGAGCATGTAGCTGTGGTAGTAAATGACGGTAACTCAATTCCAGGCAAATTGTTCCAATCTAGCTTTATACACCTTAGCCAGTTTCTTCCAAATAAGACACCAGAGCCCTGTGGTACTACCAGTAATGGAAGAGAGTGCTGAGTTCCAGCATAAGTAACATTAACATTGATTTGTCCCAAAGATTGAGTCTTTTCACCGGTATAGGTAGATAATCTCACTGCGGTAGGTTTTAAAAGGATATGGGAACAAAATTGCTCATAGAAGGTTTGGGGGGCCAGGGACAATGCACAACCAGTATCTAATTGTAAGGAACACTCTTGATTCTCAATTTTCAAGGGTACGAAAATTTCTGATTTGTATAGGGAGTTAACATCAAAAACCGTAAATAATTCTTCCTCAAGAAACACATCATCTGAACTCAGTTTCTGTTCGACAAAGTTATTTTGCATGTTACTTCTCTTACAAACACGAGCAATGTGACCAGTCCGCTTACATCGGCTGCATACAACATTTCTAAATCTACACTGGGCCCGAGAATGTTCAGTACCTCCACAGGAATAACAGGCATATGAAAATTTCTGGGCGGTAGGCAATGGTGGTCTTAGGTTATTGGAATTTGATGTATTCCTGCTATTTGAAAACTTATCAGGAATTTGATTTCTACCCACAGTATGCACAGATTCGTTCACTGATTTCGTATTGTTTTGAAATGCTAAAGTCTCCTTACTAGCAACTTCATCAGCTATGGCCACTTTTAACACATCTTGAAAAGTACGGTCTTCATTCAGTAACTTTTTCCGAGTAGCTGAATTACGAATTCCGCATATAAATTGATCACGCAGAGAACGGTTTAAGAACTGACCAAAGTCACAAGTGGAAGCATAATGTCGCAAACGTGCACTGTAATCAGAAACATTTTCTTCTTGAATACACCGATGAAATCTATAAGTTTCAGCTACAACCAAACGTTTCGGTTTGTAATGAGTACGTAACATTTCACAAAGCTCAGAAAAACTTTTATCTTTCGGTGAATCAGGACTGCACAAATCACGAAGGGTTGCGTAAGATTTCTTTCCAATAACTGAAATAAATACCGCGACTTTTTTCTTGTCTGCAGCCGCAAGTACTTCTTGTGTAGCATCAGCAGGACATTGCCCGATAGAATTAGCGATAAAATATTGCTCTAATCTCTCCGAATATGCAGCAAACAACTCGGTAGACGGATCAAATTCCCCCAGAACGCCAAATAATGGCGTCGAAGACATGGTATTCTATTAAATTGTACTCGTACAGAACTAAATTCCTCTAAATTACTGTTTTAAACTCGTTTGTTCAGCAAGAAAATATACCAGAATCCTTTATTGAAATCCCATCCTCGTCGCCAATTGTTATATCCTCAGGAATGCACTGTTATACAACTCAAACTCAACTTTTAATGTCCTAGTTAGAAAACTGAATAACAACCTTTGCTTTATCGCTCTCGCACATGTTCCTTTAACCCCCAAAGCGCATGCGCAATATATCACAAAAACGACTGAACGCATTGTTCCTAAAAGAAAGTATGATCTCTCGTTTCTCAGAAACATAGTTGGCAAAAAAGTCTATGAATAGACAAAATCCGGCACTCCCCTCTTTATCACTTGTAACTACAGGACTGCCGTACGTTTATGCACCATATTGGCGCCCCATTCAATTAAATATTATAACTTTGTTAATATATCGGTACTGAAAATAAAATAGAAAGAATTAATTTCGTTTGAAAAAGTTAGCATGAATCAAAAGTTGTCAATCATCAGACCTGCGCATGCACTCATCTTTGGTTCTTCTGTAATAGGTTGTGATTGTATTGTATGCTAGGTCTGCAGGCAATATGAAGTAAACAGACAACCTGGCATTTAGCTATATAGACAACAGGATAAAGGAGGAGAAGGATAATTTGGGTGAAAAGACATGCCTTTAAGGAAACGTCAAGGTACATTTATCAGAGTTTCCTGTACTGATTGAGTAAGTTTGCTTGTTAATGCTGGTAGTAAAATAGTAATTATGATACTTCTTTTATAATAATTATAATATTTAGTAAATAAATCAACCAGTGCATATGATATAAATGTATATTTTATACAAAACGTTTTAAGCGTGGAGGTCGAAGTTACTGGCAATTATAAACCCACGGTTTGTGCATGTGATAATATAATAATGTAATGTAGTATAAAAGATGTCATCATCGTCATTTTGATAATTTAGTCATGCATGCATGTGCTACTTTTACGAGTCGAATCGTCGTTAAAAAGAGTGGACTGATCTATACGAACTCTAATTATGCATTCAGTTCACTCTGCCAGGCTAAACGAGACAAACGTTTGCTCAGTATAATTTCTCTTCCAAATTTAACCAAAATATAATCAATTTGTCTTTGGGCAATGTCCATTAGTCCCACACATTTTCGTATCAATACCTTTGATATTTGTTATCGTGCTGAAAGACAAACACACGCACAAACCCAACACACATGCATGCATACAAACGCAACCTCTTAGCCAATAAAAAGCTACTAGCACTGTTACATATAGACACATATAGTTAGTGTACAAGTACCGAAAAATTTTCAAAAAACATTGTAGAACACAAGCATGTATATATACTTTGACAGAACACAAGCATGTATATATACTTTGACAGTTTGACTAATCACTTTTGCAAATGTATGGAAACAATCAGCTGGTCCTTTGTTCAATCGGAAACTGCCAGAAATTAGCAAAGCCAACGATAATCAAATCACTCGGGTGTCGCGTACTTCGGTACTTGTTTATGCCCACTCACCGAATCCAATGACATATTACTTGAATACGTGGTTACCTTTGTTCCATTTATTGCCAACGGTGGTAACTAGGTGGCAACTCCTGCCTGGCAAAGACCATAAATCGCTGTAAGTTAGCAAATTAATAGTCAGCCATTGTTTTTTTCTGCAAGACACCTTGGGTGGTATTAAGCGTATTAAAATGTTTGTGTGTACATATATGTGTACGTATACAGATAGTTTGAGCTGTTTTGTAAGAAGATTCGAATTCATATTTACACAAGTCACTAATGCATTCATCAAATAATTTGTAAATTGGATCCCAGAATTGGATTACTTATTACACTTAGATAAGTGCGTTTCATGGTAACCCGGATGCTTTTACTAAAATTTTCGAAATGTCATGGCACGCGGCCAAGTTATAATTTTAATGCGACTTTTGTATATTATATACATGTTTAAAATCTGAGTGCTTAGTTGGTCATTAGCCACAAGACTTATTAATCACACATCCTTACATCTGATTAAGTTCGTTTTCCGTTCGCGACAGGATGTGCGTATGTACTACCAAGTACAGGATAAGCGCCCTGATGGCATTTAAACAATTTTGAGATCGATCTGAGGCCGGTTCCGTGGGCTTCTTATGGAGTGTCCACATTTGCACATCAAAACTCGACTGCTAAGCAAGAAATTAGCTCGGCTGTAAAATGCAAATCGATCCGAGAACCCCTCTAGAGATGATCTAGTTTAGGTCGGTCTCGAATCGGTCTCAGCCCGTTTTTGGTTATCCACACCACGGTTATCTCAGCACGTTTTTGGTTAATTAAACACGCGAAAGCTAGCCCGGGCCCCAGCTAAAGTAAAGCATTCAGGTAATTGGTGAACACACGCGGGAGAGGAAATGAAGAATGAAAAAATATTTTCCCCACATGCCTCATAATTTGTGAGTATATAGCCCGCGTGTTTAACTATGTATAGCTAGCCTTTCGTGTTTAATAATCATTGTGTAATACCTGTTAACCTATATATACGACTCTGCGGAGGAGAGTGAGTGAGCTTCATATCTGGAGGATGGACTATGAATTGTGTCCAGCATATCAGTTTATCAGCAACATCTATGAGAAAAGTGAAGCCAAGATGGCGCCATTGACGTCGGACGTTCAAAATATCAGCTCTGAAGGTCGCAAACAGTTTTCATACCATTTTCCCAGTTAAATCCAGTTTTTCTGACGGACCGTATCGTTAATCATAAATGATATTAGTCTTTAAAATCGAAGTTTAAAATATGAAATTTCGGCACACTCCGTTGCGAAGATGCTGGCGGAAATTGAGAAGCTATTCGACGTCAGTTCCAATCTCGTACCCAGAGTCAGCGATGGCTCTGGGTACGGGATTGCGTCAGTTCCAGTCCCTTTCTATTGTTTTTATCTGCGGCTGCGCGGTTAGAAGCTGACTCGAGTTCTCGCTCCAGTATATATGGAGCTCACTGGTCCAGACTTGGCCAGATATTGCTCTGAATTTGCTCTGAATCGATTTCGGATCGATCTAAATCGTTAGTGTTTCCCCCCTCATCAATTGGGTTTTTTGGGTAAAACTCATTTCGATTTTGAAGACATTGTTTTAGTAAGCCCAACTTTTGCCATACGCTCACAATTTATGATTTCAGGAGAAACCATGAAAATCCAGGAAGCCAATTTTCAATGTAAGAAAATACCAAAAACTGCAAAAGGGCTGAGAAGTCTGAGAAAGGCGGGCAGGCCCTGGGTACGAAATTGCGAATCGGCACGCCCAATGTACGTTGATTCCTATCTGAATTGTGTCATATCAGTTTAATCAAGTAGCGAGTAAAATTCTCTTTTGCCACTGAATATATTTAGACAGTGGCGTAACGCAACCTCCGGAGGCCCCCGTCAAATTTTTATCAAGTGGGGGCCCTATCAGTTTTTCCCAAAAATGTTGGCGAGCCGGATGGGGGGCATATTTCGAACCATATTCATTATAACTGAGGCTCGGGGCAATTTGACAATGCACTGGCAAAAATGTTATGGTCATTTTTGCCGGGGGGGGGGGCAGCCCCAGGCGTGCGGACACCCCGTCACTAGTGCACAGGCGGGCACCCGCCAGTTACGCCACTGTTAAAAACTACTTCATGTCGTTCGATCGTATCTCTTTTGTTCATAGCAAACGCACATCATTGCTCGAAACCGGAACAAATTTTCTACCACGTATCAGTGCACGGTATAAGTGCTTAATTAATCACGTTGTGATCATTGTTTAGCTGTTAAGTTCTTTTCCGACGATAATCAGACGATAGATATTTTTGAAAAATGTATTCAAACTGACACAGTTGCAAAATTGTAAAATAATAAAATAATAAAATGATATAAAACTGTAAAATAATTGTTTTCATACTTTGATTTTCTTTGCTTTCTTGAATATTTCCACGCTTTTTTCTGGAAAATTTCCATGCTATCCGGCGAAGTGCACAAAACTTTGGAATTGACTTTTTCCATATAAAATCCGGTAGAATTTCCACTTTGTGGAAGTGTATCAAATTTTCCAGTGTCAGTATTCAGTTGGAAATTAACTTTTCATTGAAGCCATCATTCTAATTGGTGAAAGTGCTATTCATCCTAATTGGCTAATTCATCCTAGTTTTGGGGGTTCTCGACGCGCAGTAGAGCCAATTAAGCCGGTTGACCTGGGAACAAGCACGGGGTGCTGTTGCGATAATACGAGGTTGTTTCAGACCTCTCCTGCATGGAAACTCTGATTTGCAAGCTTCACCAGAAAAAAACTATTTTTTTAAAAACTTTCGTTTTCGATATAGATTATAGTTTCGACTACATAGTTTCAATCCTATATGCCATAATTGACATAATTTCGGAATGTTTTTCTTTCAGTATATGTGAATACGTCATCGCTTCAAGGCATATAGGATTGAATGTTTGTATTGGCAAGTTCCTTATACGACTACTGAGAAATGACTACTGAGTCTGAGAAATGACTACTGTCGTACTGATTTTTCAGATAGATGCAAAGAATGCAAAGGTGAACCTCGTAAAGAACTACAAGGTATTCCGTCCAGGCGTCCAAGGCCCTGATATACAACAGTATTCGGCTCAGCAGATTTGCATGATCAGGCGGAGATTTTGAGCTATAGAATCAGAACCCATATTTCTTATTCAATATTAAAAAAAGTAAGGCAGTATAAATAGTCTGCTTGCATCCTCCACCGGCGAAAATTTGAAACGGAAAATTAGGGAAAATTCCGGTTTTTCTTTATTTGAACGAAATTTCGGGCTGCGAGCAGGCTAGGCAGTAAAGTATTATTAATTTGCTTCACGCTTTATATTTTGTCCAATTGTTAAGTTTGGGTGAGGTCATCATGCAGACAATACAAATACAATTTACGTAATTAGACGTTATTCAGATACTCCAGTGTATGGAATATCTGGTCTTTAAAATTTGGTCTGACACCATTCTTTCCAGTTTTGTTGATGCATCTGAATTGTAAAAATGATCAGCTTAATTTCCACGTCTGAGCTGGAAATCTCCCAAGTAGATGCTTATATATATTAGACTACAAGAGTATTTTCATAAGCCATTTATCACTATATTTGTGTTGATTTGGTTCGTCTGAGTGGGATAAACAGTTGAACAAACACTTCTGATCATGATCATTCAGCCATTGATTTGAGCTGAACGGACAGCATAAGAACATACGTTACGTTTGATTTCAACTAGTAATTTCGCACACTGAACTTGCTAGGGTAGGTAGACTGGATTATAACACTTATTATTGCTACTGACTAATTGACTTTCCTGTTCACACTATACAGTCATTTCTCTTGTGGGGAGGCCAGATGCCAAAAGACGAAGATGGTGCATTACGCACATCTCAACCACACTGACGTAATATAAGCGTCGAAATTTTTATTATTATAAATGATTCTGTCTCAATTAATAGCGTTTCACTTTAAATAATCCAAAATCCAAACATAATATGGATGGCACGTGTGTTATTAGTAGCATATAGACGTATAGTTCTATATAGCCGATGACTTGATGAATGGTACTAATGGAGTATACGTACTGGTTGTGACATCACTAGGCACTATTAAATACATAATTATGCATTGATTTGCATAGTTGCAATACCCCCAGTAAAAACTCTGACTCTGAACTCGGATCATATGATACTGCATGGGGTCATGCAAAATATTCTACTTGTATTTTTTCCACTAGTACTTTTCAGGTAGTTTCTATATATAACTACTATAGCTGTATACATGAGAGACATATTTTCTTGTCATGACGACCAAAAATTGGTTCGATACTCTTATGGAGCCGAAAACAAGAAAATTAGTTGTATATTTTTGTATTACAGTTGTTAATCAATTTTTATATTAAATTGACAGTTACTGTAAAATCGCGTATTTTAGACTTATAACTTCTGTTCGTCACATGCAGTAGTTATAATAGTTTTATATAACAGCAGACCCCTCTATAGTCAAGATATGAATGTTTTATACTGTCTTTTACCCTTTAATTAGACCATTTGAAGAATTACGTTGTTATTTTATTCCGACAATCTTAAATGACAGGTTATACCCATGCCATAGCTGAACACTCCCGTACGGGTAACCTTAAAAGTTAAAACCATATAACCTGCTTTTTCGCTTGTATTTTATTCGGCCTGACGTCATGTCTCATGATGTTTGCATTTTTCATATAGTCTTTATATCAGTATAAATCCAAACAAGATTTTTTTCATGAGCATTTCATACAAGCTTGCTTTTAAGCTTTTTCTTGCCCCTGGCAAATTCTTTTCAAAACGTGTTACGCGGCTCTGTCGGCACGACAAGTCATTGACATCAACGTGTAACTGAAAACTTCCAGCACATTATAATGCTGAATGCATAATTTGATGTTTGCACCTTACAAACAATATGGATCTGTCATTGCATCATTTGTGTACTGTAAACGCATTGCGCAATGCAATTGGACGCGCATCTTCACATTATCTCAATGTTGATTTTTTCAATCCATGATAGGTGTCAGATAGTATTACTGTATAAAGTCTATAAATACAATACGATGCTTATTGATTTAATTGACAGTCGTGCAGTTATTCAATTTATGCATAAGAACTCCAATTAGGCTACATGCATCAAAATATTGTAATGTCTGCAGGGTACAACATTGAAGTGAGTGTTAAAATGCCTGCCGACCTTTGAAGAATAAGTGGTTTTTAAATTCTTTTCGGAATTATCAAAATATGAACGATATATTTTTTTAATGTGTGCACTGTCACTAGTTTAATAGTTTATGCAAACCTCAAAGATCAACTAAGTCTAAGATTCTAAGAAGTTCAAGTTGCATGAGACAATTCTCAAGCAGGTGAAACTCCTCGACCTTCGTTCACACTTCTCCACAGTTGATACTTTTAACTTTCAAGCTTTAGCTTTCAACCACCTTCTGATCACCGTCCAATAAACCTGTGCAAATATAGAACGTGTTTCAATCGGTATTTGGAACCATGTCACCTTTCAGTAGTGTACGTCACAGAAAAAGTCGTAGACATAGTATCATAACAGTCAAATCACTCGAAATCGAATGCGTAGAATGATTTGATATGCATACGTATACAAGACTTGTGTGGTCATTTTAGTTTCGAAAAATGTTTTTATAGGATTATAGCAAAGATATTGCAAGCTGGGTATTTGTATACTGTTATTGGCTTATAACTGCAAAGACAAAGACAAAAATTGAAATAATGAAACGCTATTCAAATAGCGGACGTTACGATTAAAAGGTATTCTACCCCATATATATTACTTTATAATTGAAATTGGCAACAGGTGTTTTTGCAATACTTCAATTATAATTAATATTAAGCTAGACAATAACAATGCCATGCATTTCGCTTTCTGCATGTATATATGTAAGACGTTCGGGTTTCGGATAACTTCTGATAGCATAGAAGAGCTACTATGTGGAAATTCCCCCCTGTAGATATAGTCGGAAATCGAGTGGTTGGCACTTTCATTGTTATATTTTTCAAACCTTTGTATTTTGCCTCGGAATATGGAATGTTTTAGACAATTAGACTTTATTTCAAATGTTGTTGGAATTTTGCTGGTTACCAATTTTTAAAAGCCTAATTGTTATTTTTTGCATTAAAACTATGATTACTTTACCTATTATTTTCAATGATAAATTTCATTTCAGTTAACTAATTTTCTCAATGATACATCTTTCCATAGGATCTTTCTGAACAATCGGGAGATTTGATTCAAATCGGGAGATTAGGAATGACGTGTGGAGTGTGCGGAAATCACAAGACTGGAACCTAATTATCGAGAAAAGGTTATAGCCAGTGAACTGTTGTAGCAGATTCATAGCAAAGTATTTGGGGAGGTCTAGCCTACTCCCAGCCAGAAAATGTGGGGCCAAATAGCTCTAGCGGTTCATTTATTAATGTTTATAGTTTTTTTATTCGGGTGTATCATGTATAGGAACCGGAATGGTTTAATGTCATTTTAATTATACGAGGATATACGAACTAACTTACTTATATTTCATGTTCAGACTAACTTACTTATATTTCATGTTCAGACATGCCCAGGCAATTCTTCTGTAATTACTGTAGAGTGGCTGTGAATTCCACATTGATTTATGAGTCTTCTATTATACCTCAAGGCGATGCATTTCATTTTACTAAGAGAGTATTCAGCCTCAAAATAATTGGTATTATAGAATACCAGGATTATAGTTAAAACGAAACTTTTGCTTTAACTATAGACTATTGCAGAATCACTGGAGCATATATAGATAGCATTATACATGCACGCACATAGCTTGGACTTCTTCTTTTGAAAAAAAATACGTCACTACTGAATTATTAAAATTCAAGAGATAAAAAAATGAAATAGAGGTTTTATAATGTTATGCTCCAATAATTCTGCAAATTGGCCTTAAACGCACATTTACACTACGCTCAATTTTGGTATACCTGTACCATTTTTATCCGTGCTCGGACTCTACCTATTTACAAAAGCCGAGCACGGATAAATTTGGTATGGGTACCAATTTTATCCGTGCCGAACGTAGTGTAAACGGGGTTTAATTCGCTCAACTTTGTTACTTTTCTCTGTTTAATGCGTGCGAGATAATTATACACGCCGATTGAGGGGGGAATGTTGCTCGTAATGGGTTAACCAGTCACGAACTAAATAGTTTTCATTGGTATATACTATTTTACCGGGTGAAATAAGGCATGCAATTACGCTTCACAAATCACAATTGTGGTTAGTTTTTACAGATGCATAAAAAAGCTCGAACAATTAGGTGAATGAAATGTAGTCAGTTTGGAGAAAAATATCTTCTTTGCCAATTCTTCCTCTACATGCAGCCTATTATTAACGAGAAACAAATTATATTTCATTATGTAGGTCATTTCTATCAGTTCAACATGTTAACATGGCCTACACTGTCTAATTCGAACTACGTCGAAAATCATTCATCAATCATCTTTAGTCTAACATGAAACACAGTGTTTTCGGATAATCAGTACATATATACATAAAAACGTTGCTCAGACGATTACCCGTGGTAATCACGGCATGCTGGTATTGAAGTATTTTGGGGATTATTGTCAAATATGGCATATTGAATATTTGTTTGAAATTGCTCCAACAGCCCGAGGGAAAATCTGGGAGGTAAAAAAAAACCCAGTTTCACATTTGTTTTTGATTTTATTTTACTGATTAAATAATTATGATCTTTATAGCTACGAGAAAAGACCATTTCTTTAACTGCTGGATTCCCGATTCAATACGGTAAAACAACTTACAGTAATCCTGTTAGGATATTAAGATATCCCTTGTCTATCTTAAAAACCTTATTAGTTCAATCTTGTTATGTGCAATATAAATATATTAAAATGAATACTTCCTAAGTGCTTTTATACTGATGTGTGAAACAATCTAGGAATTTTTTAAGGATTTGAACTTTTAGGGAGTTCAACTACTTGTATACAGTTGTTAGTTTATGTTATTTAATGTTCTTACTTAATTAATGACTACTTATTAATGTCTTTTTTTGTCTAAAACGAGTTTGTTATACCTCAACAGAAGTAACGTAACAATTGTACAAGATATGTTCATCAAGTCATATATATATATATATATATATATATATATATATATATATATATATATATATATATATATATATATATATATATATATATATATATTATTATTATATATTACAATATTTACAAAATATTACTTATATCATTGTACACGACAATCTTTCTTCGATTTATTCTTGCGTTCTGTCTTAGGTGTCTTCTTGCTTGACGGGCTGAACAACCGCTGTTCAGGCGAATATCCAACTTCGTCAACATAGCGGATTCTGCGCGTGCTTGCCTCGGCCAGGTTGGGATAGCGGACTGGATTACAAAAAGGATCTTCCCAAGGAAGAGTCTTTTTACTATTTGATCCTTTTCGTTCTCTAGTATTTGATTCTGAATTAATATTTCTGCTCGTTCTTCTCATGGGACCCCTGTTTTTATCAGATGCACGAGTATATTGTCCAACATTGCGATCCAGCATTTCCATAGAATGTGAGTTCATTTTATTTATATCGGCATCATATTCATGTGCTCGTGTTTTGTGGCTAGCCTCCCGGACACTGCTGTACATACGTGATGACATAGACCCCATAGAACGTCCATTTTGTTTCCCCGAATTATTCGTGTAAACCACTTGTAACGGAGCATCACGATTAAACTCATGATCTTCAGGCCCGCCAAGTAAATCATAATAAATAACAGTTTGTGTATTATTGTTCTTTCTTGATCGAAGTGATTTGTCTTTATGTACTCTAGTTGCACAGCTGTCAGTGTCATATCCTCTATCAACATTTCTGCTATGACCTCTCCCTGTATCAGTCTCGTAACCTCTGCTATCTTGCTTTCGTGCTCTATACCCTCGTCTTTGCGCACCGTCAGTTTCATAACCACGTTCAATAACGTCATTATACACCCGACTTCGACCGCCATCTGTCTCGTACCCACAACGCGATGACTGTCTAGGACGATTTTGCGTCGTTTCATAAGTACGTACAACCCTACTTCGTACTGATCTCATAGCACCATCAGTCTCGTAGCCACGATCAGTACTTCGTTCACTTGATTTCCGTGATACACAAGTTGTACTGGGACAGTCAGTGTCATATCCTCGGTCACGCATGCGTGCTGTGTTCCTGCCAACACCATAGCTCGCAGACAGGAATCTACTTCTTTGGATATCTTCTTCAACGAGAGAAGACGTTTCAGTACCATAATTGCTGTCCTTACTGTCGCCGTCCTCGACAGGAATGGCTAGAATTACGTCATCGTCACGTGATTTCGGCTTTCTTTGAGTGCTGCGTGACGGGCTGTTTAACCTTGTGTCATGGTTATGACAGGTTTCGATAAGTTTGACATCACTTCGTACATTGTTAAACTCATCAAAAGTTGTTTCTTTAACTTTTCTCAATTGCGGAGCAACACCGACCACTTCTCTTTGACATGCAAGATCATCTTCTAGAAGTTTATGTTGGAGTGATCGGGGGACTTCGGGGTTCATGTGTAGGTGTGGGGATGCTCGACTACACATCGCTGAGCAGTAGATTTCATCATCTTTAGGCATGAATGGACTACCAACTAACGATACACCACATGTAAAACAACTGAAGCATTTATCATTTGCATGCCAATGTAGATCACCTTTACTGAGTTGATCATCATCCACACCAATGACGTCCCCACAGGAATGGCAGTATTGAGCAAAACGTTGCTCGTAACAAGAACAACAATATGGACGATCTTGTTTCATAATATATCTCTGCCCGCCTAGAACGCTCTCGCATTCGAAACAACAAAAATGCTTCTTGTGCCAGCTGCGACCTTCAGCTTCAGTGAACTCTCTTGCGAAGATAAGCTACAAGAAAAACAAAACAAAGAAGTATATTAAAACAAAACAAACACTCCCTGGGTGTCTTCGAAAAATATCAAGAAAATGGTTTGTTGGGATAACAGGATTACAGTGAAATTACATACACTGTGGTCTGTAGACGTATAACTTGACAATACTAACGATTTGTACTAACGTCAGAGTAAATTCAGGCAATGATGGATTTTGATAAACAAAATACTGGAATAATGTTTCAAAACCGCTTAGTCTTAGATATTTGTTTTGAATATCACGAAATCCTTCTTATAATCACTTATGTGATTATAATTATTCTTAAATAAATAGCTTTTTACAGTTTAAACCAATGAACACTAATGTTTTGATCTGTTTAAAATGTACTTTTTAGAACGTTTTAGCTAAATATTTACGGTATTCCGAGCATAAATGCATTTTCTATCATGCTCACTATATGCCTAAATCAGTAGAGAAGTTTTACGTTAAGGGTACTTAGGATTTAAAGTCCTTCGAGAATTAAAACAATTAAATTATTTTAGGACATCTGTGCGACTGTACAGTACTCAGTAGGTGTCTTAATTCTCACCTCATCACAAGCACAACAACGTGGTCGATATTTTTCAGCATGGTGACGTCCACAGTAGACCATCTCGTCTTTATAAAAGTAAACCAAATCTACCAACAATTCCTTGCAATCATTGCAACAAAAACAACCCGGGTGCCACAAAGCATTGCTGTTCTTCATCCGACTTGCGTAGACAGCAATATCTCCATAGTATACTTCTTCATCACACTAAAAATACATATAACAATGTTGCCTTTAGTTGACTCCTCCTGCAGTTTTATTGTGATTTCTAATGGTATTCTGTCCGATTTATACAGTATATTTCATGAGCACAATCGACTGTGTCGTGTTTGCGCATTGAATATGTTATGTCTTACGAGAGTTCCCACGTCGGATGATTCGATGAAAACAAAAGTAGACAAAGGTTTTTCTAACCATAAAATTCGGGAATTTCAACCAAATTTCGAGATGACCAGCTTAGTCTTATAGTCTGCACAGTTTAGACCAGTTAAAACAATAGTTGGTGATCGTCCCCGCCCGTCTAGAAAAAAATTTGCCCTGGATTTAAAAAAAAAATTTCCCAAAACTTTTGTGTATGTTGAAATTTAAAATTTTCGTGAGTTTCCTCTGTAAATGGTGCGTCATGTGCGTGCGTACTTTGTCATGTGTTTATTTGACACAAATCTTTATATACTGGACTACCAACCAACGATACACCACATGTAAAACAACTGAAGCATTTATCATTTGCATGCCTGAAGCATTTATCATTTGCATAAATGAAATCGAAAAAACCCTGCATTTATATTGAGTGCTTAATTAAAATAGACTGACTTTTCCCCCTTCCCCATCAAAAAGTTAGGCTGCACGCAGGCTAAATTAAAAATACGAGGGTAACTTTTCTTGGAAAGTCCGAAATGTTTTTTTGAAGTGTCTGCCGCGGAAATGATCACTTAGACTGGAACCAAGACAAATGTGGTAGAGAATCAAAATGGCGGACGAAAGAAAGAAATTATACTCGTCGAAACTCGAAAATAAATGCTGACTTGAATTGTGAGTACATTTATACAGAAATAGTGAAATATTTTGTTATAAACAATACTAATTAGTACAATATATAGTACATTTGATTATTTGTGGGGTAAAATTAATATGTGAAAATATATAAAACATCTTTTCGTTCATTTCTTGAGTTTATTTCTATTTTCGATCCAATTTTGGAAGGTAAATCTTACATGTTTTCTTAGTCTGGGACAGTTTATTGTACAATGTGGCTGTGCTCTAATATTATTATACAATCTCAGTTTTACTTTATATGAAAAGGTGTGTGTTGCAAATGAATGCAACTAATACCTATCAATGTACATTTATACCAGGCATCAGGCATTTGAGGATATTTGACTGATGGTCAAAGTTGTTATGGGGCTCTTATATATGATATAATATGGGCGTTTTTTGATACATTTGATTGATATTTATAGATCTTTTCACCCACAGGAATTTTCTCAAAGTTTCAATTTCTCAGATCCACACCCCCTGCCTGCACCGTCTTCCATGGAATTTACATTGATTGTAGGCGCATAATGTGTTACTAGCAAGCTGTATATACTTCCTTTAAACTACAGTATAAGATTATGCAACAGCATATATACAGAGTGTATGCATAAAATTATTTCTGAAAAGATGCAGTTTAAAAATTTATATCAAATTTTGAAAGAATGTTTAAATATTTTCCATATTCTTGAAGTTGACAAAACTGCAAACCAGTTTCAATTTCGTGGTGTTGCTATATTTATATATTATTAATGTATAGCCTTATTTTATAAGTTACCTCTTCACACAGTAGTCCTTCCGATGTTACTTGCTTTACCAGCCCTCGAGCAAGAGCTTCTCTTTTTCTTTGGGAATTGAAAAGCTTTAGTTCTCGTTTCTCTGACTCACTTAGCTTGTTGCAGTACTGAGACTCACTGTCATGGGCTGGTAATTGGAAAATAAGCTGACGATTTCTGTATTTCTCACCAGGACTGCTGACGTAAGGAATTTTGTCTTCTGGTAGAGCACTCATATATGCAAAAACCTGCAATTAAAACAATATGATTTGAATAAATGAGCTTAATACATGTATGTACCATGCAGGCTGGTAGCATTTGTATTTTCCATAGAAATTTCATTATATTAAAGTTTGTAGAATGGTCAGAAAGTAGTTGGAATAGTCTATTGTTTGTGCAGTTTAGTTCTGCCATATATGAATTTCTATTTCTAAGTTATAATTAGAGAAGTTATAATTAGAGCTCAGTGGTTTTGCATTGCAAGCATTCTTTATTTTTTTCCCACCTTCCAACCATACCAGCTTGGTTATTTTTTCATCACTTTACTATTGCCATCATCATAAATATCTTAGAAAAATGCAATCATAAAATCCTTGTCGTCACCATCAGGATCAAGTTTATAATGTGACAACATGGTGTAAAAAGGTCATTAGACCTCTGTATGCAGTAGATTGAAAGAGTGCATATTTTGTAGATAGAGAGTATACAATGTTGAAAGCTCAAAAAGGAAGCCCAGAGAGAAGAAACAGCCATGTGCAGCTGTGTTGCTACTTGTATACTATCTAGAGTAACTGGCCCTAAATTAAATGCCAGTTAAAAATATACTGTATACTTAGTAAGCCATTGTGGTTTTGGTCAGAACTACATGGGAAAGATTAACAACATGTCTGATGTGAACTTCTAGAGCTTATTGTAAAGCAAAACTTTACATACACGAGTAGCCCATGTACAGCCATGTTTGGAATATATAGTATATTGTACGTTACCTGTTCAGGTGACAAACCAACTGGAACCCAACAGTATTCTTCCAAGGCACATCCACTATCATCATCACTGACAAAACTGTTACGGTTGAACTCTACCATAAACTGACTGGTTGGTATTTGATCTAGGTCGTCCAGAAAGACATTGTGTGCTTCTCTTGGGCATTTACAGTTGCTGCAAATTTTTCTGCAAAATTCAGTAAAATGATTTTATAATGCAGCTATATAAAGTATTGTAGACTAGTAGATAACAATTAGTGCAGTAGAGACCAGTGCAGGTGTCCTATAGAAATAAATCAATTAAGATTGTAAGATGTAATATTTTTAAAGATAACCACATTGAATTGAAAAGGCATCTCAGTTGAGGTCATGCAAAACTGACATTAAAGATTGAACAGTACTTCAAATTCTTCGATAGTATTCTGCTATATTCTTGAACAATACTTCAAATTTTTATATTCTGATAGTATTTCGTTATTTGATTCAAAAATTGATTTAAACCCGCTTTGTTCCAATTTCCTGTTTTAAGCATGTAACACCAAAGTACTGTGCAGGTGTATTCTAGACGCCTATAATGCTATATAGAAATCATTATGTACCTGCTCGGATGAATTGTTCAGCATTGTTTGGCAAGAAATGCAGGTAGAAATAAATTAAATTCGTCTGTTGAATTTACATCAATTGAATTGATGTTTATCTCTGACGTTTGGAACGTACGTAAGTTGACTCAAGAGTCCAGTATTGTAGTGTTGAGGATATGAAACAGAGAACGTGTGGGGCTCTATCACATCGCTTGGTCAGGAAACTGATTAATGCTATCTCAAATAAGCTTCTTTGCGGAAGAACAATTGTTTTTCCATATTAATCTAGTGAAAGAACAACTTTCATTTTGAAAACAGTTTGCCCAGTACGAGTCAGCTGGAAGTATTTACACAGCTTAAAACTTCTTAAGTCATCGGAAATTTAGAATAAAATATGCAAGTCAAATATTATCTACACAAATGCAACTATACGCCTTATTTATAAATAAATCTATATGCTACAGACCTTAATCTGATGCCTGTACTGCAGCGATAAGTTGTTCTGTTTGATACCAACACAAAACGTCAAGTAAATAAGATTTGAAAAATGAAATCGCGCTTTCTATTAATCTACCACAATTTAATAAAATTTTTGTCTTCACACCGGACTTTAACGAGAACTTAATAAATCTGTATATATGCAAACACAAACGTGTCAACTTAATCCACACAAGCTGCTTGTAAAAGCAAAGTGACAGGATTGAATATTTTGATTGCCGTGTGTCAGTGAAGGAGCCCCATTTAAAAAATTTCGCAATATTATCATCTAGATAAGACCGTTTCAAACATTCATTACCAATCGATGCTATAGGCTGTGTGTACGACTTTCTGAATATTTGTGCTAACATATTACAAGGCTATGTATTGTAGGACGCGTTCGTAACCGCATTTTTAACCAAAAGTGTAAACAGTGAAAGTAATATGAAAAAACTGCCACGGTAGTCTATACATTTTAAGAATCAAACAGATATGAGAAGGTGTGTATTTTCTATAGAGTATAGTTTGATGGTTTTATTTCATTGCTTCTGGCGTTGGAATAACATATAATCCAATTAACATGCCCATTCTCTACAGCGAACAGATGAGATTCAGACACAGTAATACATTGAGATAGGGCAATAAATTAATCTTCTATGTCTAATACTTTATGACGCAGCAGGACTGTTTTGACGACCGAACGAAAAGTAAATACTCAAATCAACTTAGGACGGCCGAAGAATATTCGAACTAAATCATTTCTTGCATGAAAAGCTGTATATAATATATAGATTATAGTCATGCAATCTGATACACTTATTAAAATAACAACTGTCTCATCAAGTTCGTTTATATGTATATTAACTGCTACGTATTACGGCGACTAAGCAAAAAATATGCTCCGAGAAACTAGCACTTTTCATGACATTCGAAGTGTTGATGAAGAGGCCAGTATGGCAAAACAAGCATATTCAACGAGTCCCAAATACCAAGTGCTATTAGGTCTGTTTTAAATCAGGCATCGGTATGATATATATGGGGAATAATCAACAAATATATGTTATTGCACAAAAATATTTTCCATCTGCTATTTCTGTGCATTATATCACAGTCTCAGAAGTAAGTAAGTATTATTAGACCGAAACAAATGAACATTTATATAATTCTTATATGGTAAGATAGCCTTAAAGCGTTGTTTGGCCTACGCGCAATCATGTTAATCGAGAGACGGAATATAGACACAAAGCAAACACTATATGGTAACCCTAGACAACAACACTTCACGATGATTTTTCACAAGCTTCTACCAACAAAAACTTTCACCAGACACAGTGATGCAGTGAAGTGTCTTAATTATATTATCACCTTACAAACCATTAGACATTTCACTAGCAGTGTTACATGTTACATGTTACGTTAACGCTTTGCCTTTCGTGTAACTGCTTGACAATTAACTCTACAAGCCATCAATTTCTTCATCAATCATGCACAACTGGCAAATTATAACCTATCATTTCTTTCGGCGAAATAAGGAGCAAAGCAAAAAAACAAATAGGATCAAATATGCAACTGCTTCAACTGTAAATAGATTAATCGGAATGCTACGGGGTTTCTTGATCTACTTGTTGAATATATTAATCGCACCCTTTCAATATTCTTTTCAACTAAATTGTGTAAAATCACATATATGAGTCAAGTTATTATAAGTAAGACAAAAAAAATGGCAAAAAGAGATGCTCTCTTTGTTGCAACGTTGTTTTGAAAGCATTCCAGTGAACGCGCACTTGGTGGTCATAGTATTTGAAGGCAAAACACTCGCTCTGTTATTCAATATGCTAGGCTGTATTGGTAGCCGACGGGAAACCACAGAGCTTACTATTTCAGGAAGTCGTAAAACTTCAAATAAATGCAATGAAAAACATCGGCTATTTTCTCATATGAGTTAGCGAAACGATAGTGTTGTAGCCATGTCTGTTTTATAAACCGCATATCTATGCCACCTGTGACAGACGCATTGCTATTTAATTTTAAGTCATATAGGTCATTTATATATATTCCCACTCACCTCCAATAATGCATCGAAAAACCAGGGCATCCATCGCCGCAGTTCGTACACGCTTTATCTCTATCGTCACAAGCCATTACGCTCTATAGACAAGAACGAAGAAAAGAAAACATTACGTACTTATATTATCTATTGAGAGATGTTCTGTTAATACAGTCAGAACAAACGTCTCTGGGAGCCACGGTTTATAAATGGCACTCGCGGAATGATGTGTAACCTTACCCTGGTTTCTTTAGACCGACGATCTAACGCCATATTCACACACACACACACTCAAAATAAGGTTGAACGCTGAGTCTGGTCGTAAGTACGGTCGGTTCTTCGTTTAGTTATTCGGCTTAAAAAATAATCCCAATGCTTTTGTTGAGACACACTAGCCTAGTCTTCTTTACTCGCGCTCTATTATCCAAACAGCTTCCGATTAAAACTGCTTGAATGACAGTTGTGACATTAATTAAGCGTCATAACCAATAAGTGACCACTTCTAAAATTCCAAGCTTTCATCACTAAATTCAGTTTTCCAATGAACGCAGTCGAGGCTAAAATTCGTCACTTGACAATTCTCAGCATGGGTTTTTGCCACTTGTAGGTTAACAACAATAAGTAATCATCGCATAGTGCGTTGCGATTTACTAAAGTACTCATCACCAATGCTCATTTCATCCCGAGAAATGTTTGCCTACACTCAGCAAGATACGCTGTGTCGGGAACATAAAAAACTAAGGAAATCATTTTAAAATTACACGCTTTTCTCGTTCCTTGATGTCTTTTCAAGTTGAAACCAAATACCGGATACTGAAACCGTATCAACAGTTCGTTATTTATTTTGGTTAGGAAATACCTGAGATAATTATGGAATATGGGCACGCTGCCTTGCTCGGAAAGCGCTTTGTCGGACGGAAACAAACAGTCAGACTGATATCAAACTGTGTAACACTAATATTCATTCAAAGCAAGAAAACACTTTAGCAGGAGAAAATGAAAATTTTCGAATATAAGTAACTTGATGAAATTAAGATGGTTTTACACCTTTTTAAAATAAAAAAAAGACTCGAAAAAAGATTTAAACTTGTTCATTGAAAGGGAGCCAAGTTACTCACCGTAGCACCATATATAGGTCATGCACTTTGTACACCGACGAATGCGCGTATGCCGAAGCCAAATTCTTGTGAGATGTAATTAGGTAAGGTTCCAAGAAATAAATTATCTGCATTTAATATGGGGAGGTACAGCACAGTGACTTTTAATTGTTCATTAGACACACGAGTACTAGTGTGAATAGATTGTGCGACTTCAAAACCCTCTTATAAAACACGCCTGTAAACTGATTAGTCCGTATTATATAGATTACCCCCAGCCATTCGACTCAGCAAGTGAGAAAAATGTTGCAAAATACAGGCATGCGGGAAATTAATTACTTTCGTTGGCGACCTCTCTAGATAATTTCAATTTTTGCTTGCATTGATAATTGGCATATGCCTTGGTCAATATTTTCTTCAAGTACCTGTTTTGCCTCAAGCTTGTATATCTCAGTGGGTATTCGCGGGTTAGCATGCTCGTGAAGGATATGTATATGTTCTATCATGGCCCTATATAAGTAACTCGCAGTCTCGCAACTACTTGTGGGACGGCTACCTGTAATACTTCATTGGCAAGTATCAATATAATTTTTGGTAGTAACGACAGTAATTGTGCAAGGAGTTCTGTTCTAAAATAGCTTGGGGCGGGGGGTGGGCAGAGTACTGAAATATCATACACTCAGGAATCATCTTCAGGGTTGTTAAACTATATAGATACAAATAATAACTTTTTGATTATTACTATTAGTCCAGTCATTTAACAGATTATATACACATATATAGCTATTTCATTGAGTTTAGTTTGTAAGATTCAGAATTCAGTTAAATTCAACATTTTGAATGAACTGGAGGTCTGGCCGAAAAATCATGCAGTGTTCGTTTCGCCGTTTTTGAATTGAAGTTATAGCGTATATAGTCTATACTATAGACCACTCTCATAATATGCAAATGAATTTAAATTTTAGTTTACGTACATTTTAATAAGTCTTCTTGACATAGCTCGTTTCTGTGACCGAAATTAAATAAGAATATTTGAGCCTGAGCGAGGCCTAAGAAGACCAATTATTAATACACACATAAAAATATTAAAACCCATTTTGGGTCGGTTGCACGAAGCCGAAGGCCCGATAGCGCTCTCCACTGGATGGTGATTTCTTCATATGTTGTAAAAATGACCGACCATGGATATGGATCTATAGTCACAATTAATAACATGGATATGGATCTATAGTCACAATTAATAAAAGGAAATTTATACTTTAATCTGTTATACCAGTCAATGGGCAATTCAAGAAAGCATAAAAATAACTATTCGCGGTGGTTATAGCGCTGTCCAGCTTTCACCGTACAACCGGCCTCTGTAGTATAAAGTGGTTTTGATACAGCTGTGTTAAAACTGATTAATGCGGTCAGTATTGAAAAACGAAGATGGATCACTGAGAGAATTTACAAAGATCCGGACACATTGCACATGAATGTAGGAAGCATGCTTGCTCAGCAGAGATCCAGCGTGCAGTTATTCCATCACAGCACGCTCACATGTGCTCCGAAGTTTGTTACAGTTATTTTTATTCAAAGAACGGCGGCAGGAATGTCGGCAAATTATTTCCCTGAGAAATTAAAGGTTTTTTTTCCGTGGGAAAATCAGAATTGTAGTGGCATTTGTACTGTAGTCAGATTTGATTCCAGAACGACTCTTTTGGGGGCGTTTTGATTCTTTTGAATTTACGGCAGTGATGGTAATTAATGAAGATATGAATAGTGGGGCGGATAAGTGAAAGTATTGTGCATTTTGTGAAGAAAGCACCATATTGACAGGATGTGTAGGCTTTGATACAATTATGAATATCAGGTATGGAGGCATGCATCTGTGAAATTAACGCTAATAGTAAAAAATTTGGAATTTCTGACATTTTATTACTGATAAATTTCTGTTATACTGCTCGACAAATCTTAAAATTCTAAAGTACTTCACAAAAAAATGAGTTCTATGGCTGAAAAGTGGACAAAAAATGTCTATAGAACATTAAAGCAGTTTTTTGATTTTCCAAATATTTCCTGAGCTGCAACCTGTTAAAAAAGGCGATTTGAAGGTAGTGCCAGTCTTTGAAACTACTTTTTATCTGATTTTGTGCGATTTCGAAACTGATTAACGTGAAAACGACTTGGCAAATAAAAAAACTGCTTTAATGTTCTATAGACAGTTTTTTGTGTACGTTTCAACCATACAACTTATTTTTTCTGTGAACTACCTTGGAATTTTAAAATTTCTATCAGTAATAGAAACTTATATTAAAATGTCAGAAATTCAGAATTTTTAGCTATCAGCGTAACTGTGATTTCACAGATGCGTCGATCCATATCTGATATTCATACTTGTGTCAAAGTATACACATACTGTCAATATGGTGCTTTCTTCACGACCTGCACAATTATTGCAAAATTGTGCGCTTATTCGCCCCACTATATATATGAATGAATGTGAAGTTATTCATATTTTAAATACAGTATCATCTGATACATAACTGAAACCATGTTTAACTTCCTTGGTGGGTTAGACTTGAAGTGATCGCTTCTAAAGACGAAGATTAACACTATATACACTCTATTACTTTGCCTATGCAGTTTCAAACCCGGTATACAGCGGCTTGGCATGGAGGCAAGGGTAATATATCAGGTGCAATACTTACCAATGGTATGTGACTGCAGCAGTGCGTGGTATTTTGTTACAGTTACTAACTTACTGAGTTCGGATCACTAATGAGTGATATTCGTAAAACTATAGTTACTTTTCACAAGTGGTTGTTTCGTGGCTTGGACCGGACGATCCTCGTTTAGTCATAAGTATAAAGTGACAAATGAAAGTAGTTGAGAAACGCACAATATTTTGTCGTTTTCACCGGACCCAGCAATTGGTTATGAAAAATTACTACGTTCAATCTTTATCAGTTTTCTACTAGTAGAATGATGCTTAGTATATTTGTTCTAACATAAATTGAACTTATATAAGTTGAACTTTGTGGTCGGCGGTATATATATATATGCATATAGGCTATTCAGTGTAATTACCAATAAGTCATTACTTTTTTCAAACTGTGGCCTTTTAAGTTATACGGTGAATTGGCGCTGTATTTAGGTTTATTTCAATAAGCAATAAGCAGTATAAGCAGTATAAGTCCTATACTTATGACTTTTTGTACAAAAACTGTTTTCTTTCCGTTTTATAGATGATGATATCACGGTGTCCGTGTATAATATATGTATTAGAGTTTAATATAAAACCGTTACAAAAAAATTCTAATATTAATTCTATATCTCCATTTTTCCTGATACTGTGTACGTAGTATAGACAGATATACCTGCTATCGTTTTATTCTTCCGCACTATACTCTATAGTATGTTGTTTATCATGTTGCATCAACTTTTATCTATTAGATCATCCTATAGCTGGTTTGTATTCAAAAACAGGACGTGACATCAACATTCACCTTGTCATATAAATAGACAGGTCAAGATCATGTTTTGGCATCAGAATTGAGAGCGCACACTTATGCTCGATTTAAATATTATAATTGAGTCACGAAAACGGAACGAATAAATAGAATTAATAATTTTTTGTGCATGCTAATACAGTAACTACTGTATGTATTGAAAAAAATTATCTACTCGATACTGATCCTCCGTATAAATATACTAGATCAGTGCGGAAAAGTGCTTATGAAGATGTTACATATCTGAAACAAGTTACACTTGATCACACTTACTACACTATGATCTCATATATGCCATTCATTAAAATTCTTGTTGAATATTAGGCCAAAGGGATAGGCGTGTTTAGCAACAGGTAGAAGGTGGCAAAGTAACACCCATCTTGTGACAAAAAATCTTATCAACGGCTATATCTACACAAGGATTATGTATAAAACTTTACCTTTGGTGAAACCTTCATTACCGCTGCAATTGTAAGTGATGTTCTTCCAAGCTGATTACTGCTATGTGGTTCACCCTAGTGCGTTGCCGATTAACTGCAGCGGATTTAAGTGGCAGTTTTGAGTTTATTCGACATGAATAATTAATATGTTTAACTTTAAAATTGCTTTGACGAGTGAGATACTCCAAATTAGGGGCCGCCTTTGACATTTATTATTAATATTCTTTATATAAACTTCGATTTTACTATTCGCCCCATATTTACAACAATGTACATACTCAATAAACTACTACCTTTAAATTGTTTCGGAAAAAATCCCCTAAAATCTGAATATTATACATTCTGTGGTATTCATTGTGTAAAATATACTATAGACGGCTAAACTATAGTCTACAGGCTACAGTTTCAATTTTGCTCCAACATTTAGGTCAGCTCCTAAAATAAAATTATTGTGTAAACATAAATTACTGTAACATGAGTGTAAGATAAACATTAAGTCCACATGTGCAAGAAATCGCAGCCTTGTACTTGTAGTCTTATGAATCAGTTCGCTGTATATTTTTACAAACCGTTTCCTAGCTCCCACATGTTCGGCATTGTTGCGCCACTAATTTATTAAAATGAGGTAAAGTTTACCAGTTATTCCTGGCATGCTACCTACTTCTATAGTTACCGACACAATTTTGTAAAGAATGTGGAACACTGAACATCCTGAGGTTTAGACATATCATCGACGCATGAAAATAAAACAAGCAAGCCACATCACTGAGAAAACACCGACTCCCCATAAAAAGATTAACAAGTTACCAGTTCTTTCTAATGCACAGTGCTGTGAATGTTTTATTTTGTATTTCGGTATTAAAACGCTGAAACACAATCATACACTTGTACATATTCCTTAACAATTTCCGTTATTGGTTATTTCGCCGGGAATTAAGTCAAGTTGGAATTCAATAATAGATAAATACTTAAGTTGAGTAAAATCCTTGGATTAAGTGTTGTGAGAAAATTTACTTGCTAACGTTGGCTTTTTTCAAACAGTATAAACGGCAAGAAAAGTAATATGTTGTCTTTTACAACAAAACTTGACTAACTTTTCAAAGGTCAACCGCTGTGAATTGGGTTCTTTCATGTTCACCGCCACTCGGTGGCGGGTCTTCAAAGACGTTTGGAAAGACCAGCAATGTTTTATGATTGATGACATCACTCTACTGTTAAAATATTGATTTCAACAAGCAAAACTACAAGATTACTCAGCATTAAAGAATTCATAATAAAGACAAAGTTTACCTTTTTACCCAAAATTAAATTTTATATAATCGCCATTTCATTTCAGGTGTAAATTGGTAATTAGTCATAAAAAGCTCGCAATTATTTCATGTGCGAAACAAATGGGTTTGTTTGAAATTTGCCGTATTTCTGTTGTGGCGGCAAAGACGTGGCTGTACTTAAAACGAGTATTAAATCCCAAGATTTCCTGGCACTCATATAAAGAAACAAAAATAGAACAAATAGGAACATCAATATTGCTAATTAATTGCACAAATTTAAGTTGATTGTCATGGTAAAGTCGTAAATGCTTGAAAAAGAATATTCTAAAAGCAATAAACGGAAGACAGTTAACGTTTAATAACATGTTGTTGTTGTGTAGTTCGACAGAACTCGAGTGGGACATATGACATCACGGACTATACTAGCTGACGTTGTTACCTTTTGAAAGTGTTTTGTAAAATGATATTGTTATCCCTGTCGAATATATTGGCTAGGTATATTTTAGACTTCTTTGAGACTTAAGTACTTTGTTGTGGCGGAATGTTTATTAGGGAAATAAAGTAAAAATAAATTGTAAAACCCCAGAAAAATATTTTTGTTGTCTAAATAGGAAGGAATTGTCCCTGAATTTAAAAAAATATACCAAATTTTACGCAAGAAACATGCAAAATAAATGCAAAGGATATCCATGGTGAGTTTCCGGTATGGCACTAAGCCTTTGTCATGATAACTCCTGGTTTCACTCATGGGAAAGTGTGGCAAAAGTACGAAAGTTTTAATTAAAAAAATAATTCCCCACATTCCATTTCCCCACATTCCATTAAAGGAACTGTCTCTTTTAAGAAATAGTGCTTTTGGAACAGCAATTCCCAAATATTGGGATAGTGTGATGTTAGTCGGTAATTGTGTCTCGTGCTTGCGTGCTTAACTCTGCAGACGACCAGTATAGGTGGTCTGGTGCTAAATAAATAATGATTGCTTAAGGCTTTTGAGACTGAGTTCTTAATAGTGTCTATAGCTGAAAAGAAAACAGGAATGAAAAGAACCTTATTAGCTAATGCAGACAGTTAATTCAGAAATGACACGTTGAGGCTGGAAAATAATTTGTCGCTTGTTGAAATGCCACATATAACATTCCTTGAGATTAATTTTTACTGACAAATGTAGTGAGCGTAGTTTGGTAGAAAAAGCAAAAATAGTATTCAGTGTTAATCATAATTAATCTTAAATTGACTTGATGTACGTGTTGACATAGCTATACATTCGTAACATGATCTTGACTTAATTTCTGTGCAATTATATATACTGGACGTACTCATTAGCTGCTCATCTATAGGATGACACTTAATCATGTATTCAGTGTCTGCCACCTAAACTTTGCACGTAACGTTTCTTGAGATTGCTAATTGTAAAAGTATTATTCGTCCTATACAACCTGCATGGCTGATTCCGAAAAAATTATCTCTCATTGCCATTGGCTGATAGGGGTAATTACTAGGAGCGATTGTTCGAAAGCTGGTTAGCTTAACCCTAGGTTAACCTAAAATATAAAGCAAACTTCCCAACAGCTCAGTTGTTGTTAAACTTGGAAATATTTTTTCAAAAATCTTGTCTGGATCAATATAGATGTTTCCTTTTCTGAAGTTTTGAAATAAACGGACGTATTGAAATACCAACCAACACAGCAGGTTAAAGTTTAACCCAGGATTAGCGATAATCCAGCTTTGAACAACGTACCGGCCCCTAGGAGTTTATGTAATTCATAAGAGGATCATTACGAGACATATAGGGACCTGGCCAAATTGCCAGTTCTGAGTTCCCCTCTCTGGACGTCCTTAATTGATATACTCTAAAATCAGAGTAAATTCTATACCTGGTATATTACTCTAATTTTAACTTTGACCATGTTAATTTCTCAACACGAAGAAAACTGATTATAAACCACTCGAATCTCTGTTTTCTATGTTCGTGCCGATTGCAGAAGGGTGAATTGATGAAATCTGCATAACAATTCGTATATATAGCTAATTTAAAGTTCCTATATGACATTGTTAGATATAAATTAACTGCTTCTTTGTTTACCCTGTACATATAAATTCTATAATCTAGCCAAAAATGTAGAATGCATATTATACTGAATGATTTTCTTTATTATGACGTGTATCCTGTGTGATTTCTTCTATCTAATATTGTAATATGTCATTTTTGCTTCAGACTTCTTAATTAGTGGTTAGTGCGGTAATCCTGCAATTCGTTATTTCGTCATGCATGCAAAGTCTCATATTTTAAGGTTGTTGTTTTGTGAGATAAATAGATTTGAAGAGCAGACTAAAAAAAGCAGAAAATAAACATCTTTTAAGAATGCAAGGGTAAAATATCGGATTTTTACTTGATTGTACTAATTTTAGCCTATCGAACTGTTACATGCAAACTTTAAGTTTTAAATTTCATTGACCACTTCCAAATTTTGAACTTATTATACCTTTGACAAAGTTGGAATTAATTAACTCTAGAATACAATGGGTTAATTGGTAATTTGGTAAGTTTAATGTCAAGTGACTCTATAGAAGCAAAAGGTTGGAGTTAAGTGACTCTAGAAGTAAAAGGTTCATATTTCATCACATTTTTCCATGATTATATCTTGCATGTCCACTACTCTGAAAGAAAGTTCCACAGGACACTGAATAGAAGTGCTGTAATTATCGGTCTGAATTAATAAAATTCTTGATTTAGTTTTTCATTGAATTAACAGATATCTTATTCACATAATCAGCCAGCCTATACGTAGGGTCTTCTATTTATGTTTCAGCGCTTTTTCATGCGAGAAGACTGGAACCTAGGCAATTTGCGAAGTCGATCAAACTTGCAAATCAAAGGATCAGTGATGTTTTAACAAATACAAGGATGTTCACCTACTGCATGATGCGCTGAACTATTTCGGAAAACTCCGTGAATTTGCAGTATTACAGCCAATAGCTAGCACCCAAAACGATATTTTTTATTTTTGTTACGTCTATCTCAGTATATATACAACCCCCTTTGTGTAGTTCAAAAACGTATGAAAATTTGTTCTACTCCAAGGGAGAGTAAGAGACTGGTCGCAAGTCATTGTTTTCTTTTTAAATATATTATAAGGGTTATATACAACTTTTATTTTTTTATAATTTTACCCTATTTGTTGGTTCAAATGATTGAATAATTTAAAGATTGAAAGAAAGGGTGTGAAAGAAAAGAAAGAACATATTCGTACACCTTATCATTTAGTAGTTTTTCTTTTCACGTTTTTCAGTAAAGAAGGAAGTCGTGCAGCTAGTGTATATAATTATTTCTGCAGGACTGGAAAGGAACACAAATTAACCCACAGTGTCAATTTTGGTAAATAAAGGAAACAAAAATGTTTCTAAGAGGGATAATAGCAGTACTAATATAATTATTAAAACCAGTATAGTGTGGAATGTGTCGATAAAGATAGTATATTGTTATTTACTGATCAACTTATTCAGTGCATTATTTTAGCTGGTTTGCAACTTCTATAATTTACTGAGATACCAGAAACTATAACCAGTTTGACCTGCATCTGAATAAAACTGCATGAAAAGTAGTCAACAACGTGCAAGGTTGCATGTACCTCGTTTGTATAATTTGAAATTGCATGCATGTACGAAAATGATTTGGGTTACTCATTTTTGCAAGTAACTTAGAAACTCCTTTTCATCTGAGCGATTAATTAAATGTGGCGTACCACAAGGCTTTATTTTGGGGCCACTATTCTTTTTGCTGTATATAAATGATTTACCTTAATGTCTAAATAAAACAAAATCGCGTTTGTTTGCTGACGACACAGCAAACATCTGACAGCTTCAGGAGATTCTATAACTGATCTTGAGGCTGCAGTAAATTATGATCAGATGGTTAATGGTTAATTGCTAATAAACTTAGCCAAGACTGAATTCATTTTAATTGGTTCAAAACCATTCTCATCAGGCCGAATGTTTTCATTGAAAATAAACAAATTAAACAAGTTTATGATGCAAAACGCTTGGAGTAACAGTTGACCAGCATTTATCTTGGAAAAGTAGCACTGAAAATATTTGCAAAAAAAATAACATCAGGAATCTCTGCTATATTCGTCGAGTCAAACCTTTTGTTGACAAAGAAACACATATTTCCATATATATAACGCTATATTGTTCGGCCGATACTTCGCGGAGTATCAGAGTATGGGATGTGTTTGGCGGAACACAATCAAAACGACATCGAAAACTGCAAAATATAGAGCTGCTAGAATTATCTTGAATATGCACGAGCAATGACGTAAATAATTCTATTGCTTTGTGTGAATTGGGTTGGGAACCACTCAAAACAGAAAAGAAGAAGGCTAAAGCAAAAATGATGTATAAAGTATTAAATTAAATTGGTCCCAAATCACTCACAAATCTATTTTCATATAAAGGTGAGAAAACAAGCTATCACCTACGGGACATTTCAACTGGTCTTTGTTTACCAAAACCTCGTACTAATAACATGAAAAATAGTTTTATGTATGACGGAGCAAACCTTTGGAATTATATTCCAAAAGAAATTAAGGAAAGCAAGTCACTTTCTTCCTTTCGAAATAAAATCGCTGCTCACATTGATGAGTAAGTATTGTAAATAATGTACCTGTAAATAGTCTACCAAACTTTTTCATGTTACTATTTTTAATACTCTATATCTTTATAAATTATATATTTTGTAAATAGCTCTAAATATTCTTTTGTAAAACTGAACGATGTAGAAATAATCCTTTAGTTTATGCAATCAATAACTACTAACAATTTTAAATTAGATAAATAGAACTTTTACTATATAATCATATTAATGCACATATAAAATATATATGTTAGGTAAAAATAATGTTGTAAATAATTTTAATTAATACTTGCTTGTAAACACGTTGTAATTCAGCCAATCTGCTATTGAACGTCACGTGTAAATGAACCACGCTATTATTATATTATTAAAAAAAAATTTTTTGGCACACACCCCTCGTGGAAATCAGGGTAGGCGTGTATAAATAAAATTTCTATCTGTCTATCTATTCAAGCCTTTCATTGGTCGAGAGCCATGAATTAGAGGACAGACGCACGGAATTACGTCACACAAAACCTTATCCAATAGCATTCCCTTATTTGTATAGATCATGCACGCGTGATATATTTCAAATTTCCAAATGTTTGGGTGGATAAAAAGTAAGCTATTTATACCAGTCCTGCTTAATTCGGGGGTTTTCTTTTTATTAAATAAAACAAATAGATAGCCTAAGATTCAAAATCTTATCTGTTTGTTAAGTTGATGCGACTCTGTTACCGCGGTATAATTAGTTCCTTTTACTTTTTCTAGACATGTAATTGTAGCCAGTTCCAAAAATATGTAACTTTTACAGCACTGCGTTTAATTGACTGTGAAGTCTACGAGACAGTGAGTTGGTCGCAAGCCATTGTTTTCTTTCTAAATATTATAGAAGTATACATCATCAACACTTGGCTGGCATATTTAATGATTTTATTTTTGGTATAGCTTAAAGATAACATATAATATTTACATAAATATTTAAGTGACTTACATAGAGCGAAATACAAAAAGTGTATGTGAAAGAAACAAAAGAATGTTTTGTTTAATATATCGCATTTTCTAAAAGCTGTGTAGAGTGCAGATTTTAAGAGGACGTGCAATGCTTATAGCACGGCGTGTAATGTCATAATCTTTTCCGTAGGGCGGGAAAAACACACAAATGAACCATAGTGTCAATTTTGGTAAATAAACAAAGTATAATTCACACTTGGCTTAAGCAATTACCAAGGCCGCACACGTATAATGAGTTACTTTGAGGTCTTGAATATAATGTTACTCTCCACATAAATTCACGGGAAATCCGCCTATTATGTAATGATACGATATAGATATAAAATACATTGACAAGTATAAGGGTTGACCAGGCGAATGCTCTGAATATCACGTCAAGCTCGTTCTTGCCTTTTATTTCACAATGTGAAATTCAGCGCAAAAGCATGAAATCCGGGTCACATATTTGATGTAAAAAAGACTTGAAATTCACACCGACAATCAAGAGGATCAAGGGAGGAGGGCAGGAAAGTGTAATATATAATTTTCATTTTTTGTTAATTTATGTACTTTCCTGATCTTTATTTCTTTGTGAAAAAGGCATGGAATTCACAATGTCAATCAAAAAGATCAGGGGAGGACAGACAGGAAAGTGTAATATATAATTTTCATTTTTTGTTAATTTATGTACTTTCCTGATCTTTATTTCTTTGTAAAAAAGGCATGAAATTCACAATGTCAATCAAATAGATCAGGGGAGGACAGACAGGAAAGTGTAATATATATAATTTTCATTTTTTGTTAATTTATGTACTTTTCTTTTCTTTGTTTCTTTGTAAAAAAAGGCATGGAATTTACACTGTCAATCAAAAAGATCAGGGGAGGACGACAGGAAAGTGTAATATATATAATTTTCATTTTTGTTATGACTTATATACTTTCGTTTTCTTTGTTTCGCCGTTCGGAAACCCACGCCATTGCCTTACAATACACATAAGCATGTGCGTAGGCAACTATATATGGAGGCGTACACCTGCATATTTCTACCATAGCGATATACCAACAAACATGCATGCACAAAAAAGTCTACATTCATGCTACAGTCTAATTTCGACTAATATCATGCCGTGTTTTTATTTTTACTTTGAGAGATATTTCATTGATTTAGTCAAAAGTAATTAATCACTACATCATACGTCAACTCCAGCTTTTCAGCTTTTCTAGCTTTTCAAAATAATCCTATTGTATGTGAACTTATTGTAAGAATGTGATTCTAAAAAATTTCGCAATTGTCAGATGAAGAGTCAACATGGAAACACTATATAAGTTCATTGATGCAAGACAGATTTAAAAAAGACGACAATTTCAGCTCAAGATTGAGAGTTAAGGAACATTGTTACTGTAATAAATTGAAGTTTTTTAAAATAACCTTACAACCAACCGTGCAGTGTCTGCTATGAGACAGATTTTATGTAAGTCATCGATCCAACGTCGCAACATGCAGGCATTCACATTGCTCATGCAGGCATTCACATTGCTCCAATGACGTGAAAATATGAGTTTAACGTTGTATTCAGAATGACAATTACGTTGTTGAGTTACATGAAGAGTGATTCGTTGTTTCGAAGGCGCGTCTTTCAGTCGTGTTTTCAGAATCTCGTTCCCAGAGTATGCCTGTTCGCGGGTTAGGTAGTGCCACTACCTAACCCGCGAACAGGCATACTCTGAGAACGAGATTGTTGTGTTTTCTAAATCAGTCTATTTAGGTATTACGTACGTCACTGTATTGTGGAAATAAATACCGATGCATGAATGCGAAAATATGCAGAATAATCAACAAGTTCTGTGTTCGATTTGACTTCACTGTTGAAAACAGCTATAGCATATACCATGCAGTTAAATAATGATGCAGACATGCGGAATATTGATTATTGCATGTCGGCGGGAATATATGGCGCCATACTTTGTTCCTACACTCAAATAAAACAAAGACAAAGTGGTGTTTTTAGCTTCTCCACGTGGTCCAGATAAAAAAATTCGCGTAAACAAGAAAACAAACAACTCAGTCAAATATACAATAGTTCATTAGCTATATGTTGTTTCATACTATGTTTTAATACTCAACCACATCGTCGCCTTCGGATTGCATGTGTTAGACCGAATATTTATAATCTATGAACTGTCTTTCAAATAAACAGAGTTAATTTAATTGAACAACGCCAAAGTTGTTTGTCCAAATCAGTGAACTCTATATATATATATCTGGAATGATAACAGCGAGCGAAAAGTGAAGCCGACAAAAAAATCACGACATAAGTATTCGTCATTGTCTTCGTCATCAACTGTTCAAGAACTTTCTTACAGTATTAAAAATCACTTACATATAAAATTTGTAATTGTTTTGAAAGTTTTTATCACAGTTTTTATATCTTTATTCACTTTTAACCTGAAGATGGAGTTATACTCCGAAACGTAGTTATTAAAATAAGTTTTTACTAAGCCCATATGGTCTAATTTATATTCAAACACACGTACATATTCATTTACATTTTGCTGGCAGGCAAATTCCGATCACACAATAAATTCTTTAAAAAATAACGTACCAGTGTATTGACTAAAAACTATAAAACTGGTAAACTAAAAAACAATTCAAACAATCGCGAAGTCACAGTTGCAAAAACGGCAAAGTCACAGTTGCAAGTCAATTTACCTACCTGTGAAATGAAATTTTCTCGCAAGAATATCTCTTTCCTTGTGCATCCAGAACGACAGTACGACACAATATATTTGAAAAAGTGATTCTTTTCTTCACACGGGGAAGTTTTCCTCGACTTTTTTCCGACAGGGAACTCAATGCAGTAAATTTTAGGAGCAAAACAGTTTGCTCCTAAAATGTATTGCATTGAGTTGGCCATGTTTTTAATTTTTTTTTCGTGATTGCGTTCAAATTTATACTGGCCGTGCAACGGTTTGCAAGAGGGGGGATGAAACTGACGTCCAATCCGCGTAAACCTGACGTTTGAGGGACTGAGACTGACGTCCAATCCGCGTGAAAGACTGGTATCGAGGCTTCATTTTTTTCGCAATCAAATGACTGAATGTTATCGTTCCAGATATATATATATATAGAGTTCACTGGTCCAAATACGTCAGTAACGTCATTTCATGCACGTGGAAGTACTAAAATACCACGTGGCGTTGAGTGTCGGAAAAGGTATACGTGCACTGCATGCAATATAGACCTTTCTTATAATAACGTCAAACGCGGAAAAACACGTAATGCGATGCACGTCCCAAGCCGCAAGGGACACTTTTTAGCGACAATCGTAATGCAAATGATGGTTTTACGAAATTTATTGGCTCGCCAATGACTTTCCGTGTTTGACGTCAGTTATAAGAAAGGTCTGTACTATATAGCATACCTGCATGTATCTACCCAAGCGGAAAATATGTTCAATATAAGTCACGCGAAATTTGAACTATATATAGGAGAATGACTACAATCAACTATATTAACCATATATATGAAATCCGAATATATTAACCATATATATGAAATCCGAATGTATAGCTATTCTAATTATTTTTTACCTCAAATTGGAGTTAGGAAACGCGAGACAGCTATATGAGTCCTTGAACGGTTGCTCCATGTAAACGTCAATTGCCACCAAAAAATCTTAACGATTATATATGAACTTAATTTGGAGAAAGTTGTGATGCCTTCCCAACAAACAGATTGGACTGATACATTATCCAATATAAAACAAAACTACTTTAGTTTTAACTTGCACGTGATTGAACCTAAAGCAAATGCGTTGAGCAGGTGAATGGACTGATACTGTTATATAATATTTATACAGCAATAGCTGATGAATGTAATATTTGACAATGGCAATCTCGGTCGAAACAACTATAACCAACATGCATGAACCTGCAAAATACATGCACCTGCACCTTGATTGTATACCACCTTTATTTGCTAAATCGTCATTCAACACTGAGTTGAGTGAGAGGTAGCAGACTATAAAGAGTCCGACCTGTCTATTTGTTTATTTATTTATATTTTTACTGATTTGTTCATTTTAAACTTTATTTATACTCGGGTACACCATAGGTCGAGCAAAATACTGTCCATACTCATATTGGTTTGTAAAACCTAGAACGGATGGATAAATCTGTTTACATGCAGTCTTCTCAGCGATTATATATGCTGCATGTTCTATATACATTACCTTACTTGGTATGACTAGTTAATGATGTAATACAAATTATGTCATCGATAATGGAATGGTCGCACAACCAACCATATACATGCATGTTTGTCATATTTAGAAATTGCGTATATTTTCATAAATTACCATCCCTATACAGTCTGTGTATGGTACATTTGCCATCAGGAAGGAAGCAAGGCCATGAATCATGATGATTTTAACGGTTAGATACAATGCTTGATTTCATTTGGTAAATAGTGTAAATCGAAAATACTCCGACCTCGGTTTCAATATAAACTGAGTTTGGACCTACAACAGCATGCAGTAATGACAAGGTCTGCTATTTTGAACACGATTACATGGTATTGTACGGTACATAAAAGTAATACTGGATTACTGGATTGAATGTATTTCTGTATCTCCAGTAAACGAGTTTTCTAAATAAACAGGAAGATGTAACTTGCGTTGTGGATGCTTAGGAATCACGGTGTTAGTTCTTACCTCAGTTACCATGTTGTTCCTACTCAATATTCTTGTTTTCATTTCGGGCTCTTTAACGGTGTTGTCGACACTGTAGTGTACAAGGTTGTGTGCTGCTTTCGTCGTTTCGAGTAGTCTTCACGACAAGTCACTAAGTGTGAAGTAAACACGTCACGGATAGGAATGAATAACAGCAAAATATCTTTGTGTGAACGCACATTGATTGGTTATATAATTAGCAATTATATTGATTATTGTTACAAAGACTTGTTTCTAAAAGTCTTTATATTACGTAGGCGGAGCAATTCGTTTGCGATTTGAAGGCGAATTTAGGAACCGGATTTTCAGAATTTGCGCATTTTATATGGTTAGTATTAAACACATAACAAACGCTTGCTAAATCAGTAGTAAATTTTCCTGATAATTTTTTTTTTCATCAAACTCCTTGTATTTCTTTGCTATACTTTGCATATATATGCAACCATAATTATCTTTATGTCTTCACAGGTTATTAACGCTATGCATACAAGGTCAAAGACTTTGATTGTTTCGATAGCAGTATATATAGAGAGTCTAGAAGTAGATTGATATAGAAGGGCATGATTGTCATTTTTAAAGCTAATTAAAGAAGAATGGAAATTTGATGTCAAAAATTTAAGATTTAATTTCTTTAGGATATAATCTTCGACTTTGTAATGTGGTTTTCCTGAGGTTTGGTGTATCATAAACAATTTCATCGTATATCGGTCAGACAAGTCTTCAAAAACGGTTTCTGTGGAGGAAACCGAAACGGTCAGAAATTTTGTAAATCGAGATGAACAATCCAAACAAATTCATAGTACCGTAATATTCTTGCATGTATTATGCAAAGGGTAATTTATAAATAATTCCGATGAACAGGTACACTACTGCACCAGCCACCAAGACAAGTTCCTATGTGTCAGTAGGCTATATTTCTGTTGGTAATGAAGGGATTGATTATTCTGAGAATACATCCATAGCAAAATTGATTGTCAGTACAGCTGGTGCAGAACGTAGCCTTCATTTTGTTGGATCCGCCCTTTCCTTTCTTTTGTCGCGACTACTTTGCCCTAGTTCTGTCAAGGTCGTGCTCACTGAAGGTCACTGAATATTGCCGGATCCAACAAAATGAAAATTATGAGACGTAAAAAGGAATTTAAGTAATTACTACAGAAAAACCTCATGCATTCTCGTGCATAATATTTTTACATGTATAAAACTCCCAACTGACGGATCTTGGCAACTGATATAAAATTCTATTTAGAACAAACGTCTTTTTAGCTTGACATAAAGGCGTGGACTATAGCAAGGGAGGAACACTGCCTCAGCATGTGTCCTAATTATGTTCTACTCTGATCACGCTATCCGAGAGGAACATTATATAGTATAAATAGTAAAATAATTATACATCAATTCATGATTTTAAGGATGCTCTAGAGACCAATGCAATTATTAAGCTTTTATCCTCTTAGTCTTCGATGCAATTACTCTCTTCTTGTGTCATTTTGTTATTTTGTAGGCGTACGTTTTGGGTACGAAATCCAGTGTGTATCTTCACAACAACATCTTTGAAAAAAAACATCTTTGTTATGGTGTATTATTATAATACCTATTATAATACTGTTGTTTACAGTTCATCCTAATGGAAAGTTTTAACATTTTTGTGTCTTTCACGACAATGGTACTGATGGAGCCATGCAGGCATGTATAGAAACTTTAAGTACATGATTATTTTTTGCATTTTTTGTTATAGAATGTAGACATGTATTTGCCACGAATTTGATTTTATTCACATTTTCTGAAAGCGACGAAAACATTGACAATGTTCACTGGTTTAAGAAGCTTCAAGTCAAAAGCCAAAAGGAAAGGTTATATATATAAGCCAAAACTAGGAAAAACGACTAGGCACGCAGAGCCTGCATGTAGAATCTAAACAAACTTTTTTTTTATCAAGAACGATTTAGGCCAATAAACGATTTAGGCCAGTCCGATTGTCCTGAAAATTTTGACTAAAAATTAGGCGGCTCGTGAGTCTGACCCAGGAGTTTCGTATTCGTTTAAATATTTTAGTTCTTTTGGAGAGGATCACAAAATTCAGAAAAGTTTTGAAAAGCGCTATACTTTCAGTTATTTTATCACCCGTGAAGAGGTTTACTACCAATCTCGTACCCATGCAGAGTATGCCCATTCGCAGGTTAGGTGAACGGGCGTACTCTGGGTACGAGATTGGTTTACTATACATGAACTACTGAAAGGAGTAAAGTGGGATTCATTTAGTATTTTCGTGCTGGTAACTATTGTGATAGTGATCAAGGGACCAGAACATAGGAGTAAACAGTGAAAACTGATCGATATTCTGTAAAATGTACAAAGTGACAGTCGTACAAGTATATTCGGCATTTGCTAACTAACGAATGATAAATGATGCTAATAGTAATCTATTCCGCAACACTCGCCTCACCTGTTCAGTTTAATGAAGGTATTGGGATGAAAACATTTGTCTTAACGGATTTAGGAAGGTTGCATGAAAAGTCGCAGCAGCAGCGCCCGAACTCTATACGAATTTCCTGGGTGAGTGGGTGGGTCTTTTGCCTTTGGATCCTTCTTTCTCCGACGGAATTCACGCTAAATGGTGCAATTTCTGCTAGGCGTATAGTCATTTTTATACATTTATTGTATCACATGATACCTAATAGCTAATCTACATATATGTTGCATAATTACACCCATTTCCTTTTACACATGATTATACGAGTAATACTAGTCAGTTAATTATCTCAGTTGTCACCGGGAGACAACAAAACTCTGCCTTTCCAGTTTTCCGGCGTTTCCATGCAATCAACAAGACTACTTTGATGTTATTTAATTTATCAACTGTGGTTTAAGCTACTGGAAAAACTGTGAAGCCGATTTCACGATGTCGATGAAATTATTTATATATTTTGTATTAAATTTGCAACTCCACAATTCATATTATTTCGAGGAAGGTTTTGAAAACTTGATATCTTGCCCGGAAGAAGGTTGAAGACTTTTTGCAACTCTGTTACGTTCATGTTGTGAAAACCTATATGTAGAAATATTACACTCAAAACTTTTCATTTACTAATGCGCGGTCATGTTCCATGTATTCTATACTTATTAACATTTCTCAGTGGACAGACCGGTTTCCCATGCAACTGCGACATGAGGAAAATATCTTTATTTTTTAGTGTCAATTAATACTGCATGCATAGCCATAGGTAACTAAGTCACATATACACAACTATAGTATATAAGTCACTATATAATACACTGTTTAAATTGTTTTTCGTATCTGCCACATTGGCATTGCGTTAAAAATTATTTGATTTCCTGCATTTCTGGCATTAACTGAATCTATTCATATGTAAATAAATAGTATACATGTGTTTTATATAACTAAATAAATCGAGGTATTTTCTTTATCTTATCGCCTATAATACATTATAAATATAATTACGATTATATTACTGATATGGGAATGTTCGAGATTAGATATATAAGAACCTATAACGATTAACGGTATACAAATCTTTAAAAATTGCAAATCAAATACAATTAAGTATCTTCTATAAAGTATACAAAACTTGGCTATATCAAGTGTAGGCTATAACAAAGTACTCAAGTTTTTAATCAAGTACCCCTTGTTTACTGATCCCATTTACTCTATCCCATTTGTAACATTGTGAAGCACTTGTAGAAATTGCAAGTCAAATACAATTAAGTATCTTCTATATAGTATACAAAACTTCTATATACTGTATGTATAGGCTATAATAAAGTACCCTTTGTTTACTGATCCTATTTACTCTATCCCATTTGTATCATGCAAAGCACTTGTAACTGAATTGAAAGACCGTACAATGACCACAGGTATAGCATTTCTTTTATTCCATACAGAGAACCATTAAAGTTAGCATGCATATTATGTTGTCGTTCAGATAAACTCGGATATATAAAAATGTTACGTTTATTGATGATACTTGAAAACAAGTGATTCCTGTACGCTCTGCTTTGTTATGTTATTGTAGGGACACTTTATAATGGAACAGTCTCTTTTCTCTCTTGTTTTACACTTGGAAATCTCACACTATTTGTCAGAGAATGACAACCGATCAATGTTACATGAACAACAGCAATTTTCCTTACCTTTTATGTTTTGATTCTTTATCCAGTAACTTGGTTAAGTTAACAGAATGAGGGTTTGAAATCTCGATTCTATCAGATACACTGACTATTGACACGGCTGTTCAGGAACAATTCTATGTTCATTTATCTGCATTTGTTTTTATTCTTTGTTAGTCTCATAAGCCTAATTACCTGTTGGCATTAATCAACAAAACAATATTGCCTTTTTAACAATGCACAGAGCTTTGCTAAAACAAATAAATCGGAAAACAGCGTTTCATCCAATTCATGCAATGCCAAAGTGATTAGGGCATCTTAAAAAGAGGAATGAATAATTATCTTTAGCGTGGGTGTAGGACGCGTGTATAGCTATATATTGCACTACGTCTACGGTTGTAACAATTGCAAACCTGGCTGCCACACATATAGTCGTGCAATATATAGTTGATATTTCAACACCTGATTTTTCCGAATAGCGATTTGTAAAAGTTATATTAAAAAATATGCACTGTTATACAGGGTGAGTAAAAAAAAACTGACACCTTTGTTATAATTTGAATATCAAAGGTATCAGTTTTTTTTTACTCACCCAGTCACCCTGTATGTACCGCGTATTAGCCTCAACCAAAATATGATTTATCACAGAGTATAGTATCACTGACAATAATGTGGTTGAAATTCAAGTGCAAGAAAACCGTATATGTCGCATTGCATTTATTTTACATAAAATGTTGAAGTCAACCTATTGGTTTTGTTGATCTGAATAGACAGTCCCCCTTTTTTCAGTCCCCCTTTTTTCTTCAGTCTTCCTGATATAAAAGATGAAAAAACTTTAGAATTGTTATAGCAATGCTAATATCACAATGTTTATACAGACATTACATGTATATTTAAATCTCCCTGTGTTTCAGTCCAAAGAATTAAGTCTATTATACATCATATGGAACCATATTGTTACTTGAAATACAGTGCATTTTATAATTGAAAAGACTCATGCATATAACAAGTACAGAGTGACG